GCTTTTGGGAAGCAAAATGGATATGATACCAAACTGATGAGATGTGTATTTGGATCTCCAATGTAGGATTTAATCCAGAGAGGGTAAGGTGGTCTTGTCCTTACAGATAATAACATCTTTATCTGTTGGTCCCATGTGGTCTGCAAGCAGAATCCAAAATGAGGGGGGAGACTTGTTTAATTTTACCTCGGTGCATTGTTGTTGCAACTGTGGGTTGTTTTCAGGGGAGCTAAACATGGGATTTACAGTTTTAATGCCCCTAGTGGCTAAAGATTAAATAGTTTTTTTTTTAAAGTTTTATTTATACAGCTGCACTCATCCCTTTTTAGAGACCAGATGGGGTGGAATTGGGCCAGTATAAAGATGAGTTCAACAGCCCTGATTAAGAATGAGAAGTTAAAAACCCATTGATCAGATTTCAAGGATATTACAGCTGTAGAATGTATTTAATTTGCTGTCCTCCTCACAATATCAGACTGTGCTATGTGTCAGCTACCAAGGGATGATTGTATAATTGATTTAGTTGGTTATTAATTTCAAGTGTCATGGCAGAACATTGGCAGATTCAGCTTTACTTCCAACTAGATTTCTTTATAAAATGAAACGACTGAATAACAGGTTAGTTGTAAATGTATATGTCAAAGCAGTCTTAGAGATATTGTGTGAGTGTTTGTGTTTTGTTTGGGGTTAATAGACTGCAGCTATGAAAGCGTTTGAAAGGATCCCTGTTAATAGCTTCTACAGTGTCTTATCCATGTGGACCTTAAACTTCCCTGATCTTCCATCTTCTCTGTTGATTTTTATTTATTTATTTATTTTTTGTATTCTTCTTTTTCTGTCGATGCCAGTTGCAGAACCTGGGTGTGAACCCAGCCAACATTGGCTTCAGCTATCTGACCATGGAGTCAGACAAGTACATCTGCATCAGAGAGAAGGTTGGTGATCAGAACCAGGTGGTGATAGTGGACATGTCTGACCCCAACAACCCGATAAGAAGGCCCATCTCTGCAGACAGCGCCATCATGAACCCAGCAAGCAAGGTTATTGCATTAAAAGGTGAGCTTGTAAAATTGATGGAAGTTAGTTTTAAAGGTTCTAAACTGTATAATTTCTGTCTCCAATATTTGTGCAAGAGTGATCCAATGTTTAGTGCTCCGTCTTTGCACTTAAATCTTTTTTTCTGTTTCTAACTGCTTTGTCTGATAGATTATCTATTAGGGCTGGGCGATATGGCTAAAAAAATAAAAAAAATTTTTGTCATCTTGGACGAATATGATTTTAATCGATTTTAATTGAAGTTTTAAAAACTACATGCATGCATTTTAAAATAGGTTTACTTTATTCAAAAATATATTGTGAAAAGTAACAAATATTAGGCAACAATGAACTCATTGTAAAATAATGTAAACGTAAATATTCATAACATAAATCTTGACACAAATTTTCACCCAACAATAATTGTAGAGATTTTTTTATAAGCATAAAACGTACTTCTATATATTCAGTACAAGTGCACGAAAAAAGAGCTTGATTTGCTGAAATTCACAATTTATCGAACAGTCAATAACTTATATTGATCTTTTGAGGAGTAGGTGGTCATAAACAGCAGCTGTTGAGAGCCCAGTTCACGTCGATATAATACGCAGTAAAACTCATGTACAGCTGAAGAGACAGACTGGATCAAAGGACTGTAGCAGATGCATATAATAAAGCAGAGTCTTTCTCAGAGCGATTGTCATGTTTCATTGTACAGTTTTGGTAGCGCAACCTCCACAAAGTATTTGCAAAGTAAAAAAGTACAGAAGAAGAGACTTCCTCGATTGTATGATTTAGCAAAATTTCAAGTCGTGAACTTTTAAAAATATGAATTAATCAAATTAATTTAAATTATCACCCAGCCCTATTATCTACTAATGAACATAACTGATAAAGCATAAATGAAAGTGCTGATCGGGATGATATGCCTTCTAATGCCTTCTCTCTGCCCCTCGCTCTGAGAATAACTCTCCTCTGTTTGGCCCCTACCTGTGCACTTTCCCTCTTTCCTGATCGACATTCTTCTTTTTCCTCCCTTGCTTTCTGTCATTTCTCAGACGGTGAGTTGCTTTCTGTGTGTCTGTCTGTCTGGCACTCTGTTGTGATGATAAAGTAGCCATGTCTCTCTCATAAAAGTGTCCCTCACGACTGGTGGTATTTTGACCACTCTTTGGTGCAAGACTATTCAGATTAAGCTCAATCTGACCTGCTGGCATATAGATGTCTTTTATGAGAATAACACTTGTTGGCATGGCGTGATGCTTTTTTCCAGTGTATGTGTTCTATATAAATCATCACATATTGGAGTGAGAAAGGATGCAGCACTACCTGGGTCTTTGCACGCTTATGTAAGCCAGTAGCCATATCATTGTTGTCTATTAGGCAACCCATTAACTTATCATAAAGCTTGTTTGTGCTGATGGCTGTTTACACAGAAGGTTCAGTATTCACCAACCTCATGCATTACCTCACCTGTTTGTTATGCCGAGAGTTTTAATGGAGGTTGTTACTGGTCATGTATGGAGCTAACCACTTTATTTTGGAGCTCAGAAACATTACCATGACTCAGTTACTGCAAGCCATCATTTCTGAAAGCTGCCATCTGCTCTCCGTAGCCAGAGGCCGGCTGATTCTGGGTGGAACATGGTGCTGTTCACAGTACTACAGATGTGGATGATTTCCTGGAACGCCTGTTAAAGATGTCTTAAAAAACAAAACATGACAAATTCTTTATTGCATTCCCGCATGCTGAAAAATTGCAATCTTTTTTTAAATATACATTCATTAAAGGAGCATAATATAAATTTTACAAAGGGGGAAATCTTTGATCAAAATATCTAGATCTCTTTAGTCCTGGCTCCTCTCTTAATGACTCATCTAAATGATTTGGACTTTCATGGTCAATGGAAAAGGAAAGGCACCCTATTACATGTGCAGGGCGCAAATCATTTTTAAAATTCTTAATTCAGCTAAATTTTAAATCATTTTTGTTGAATTCTAGATTCAAAACTTTTCATTTATGCTGTCACTTCAAGCCTTTTTACTCTCATGAGTCGTGAATGTTGTTTCTAGAGATGTTTGATCAATGCTCTATGTTTACTTGATTGTCTATATTTTTGTCAAATTTATGTCAAACACAAAAAAGTTTACAAAGAATGGACTTCATGCAAGAACCATTTATATGAACAATAGTTTCATTTTCGACTGCCTGATTTAATATCAATTTTACAGTTCTTAATATCGAATTTAAAAAAACTAAACATTTGAGCCTAAACCAATGAGGGGAAAATGGGCAACCTCTGCACCGCCACTCTGGCAGATAGTGCTGTGGAGCCCTTTCGCTGTACGGTGCAGCGCCATATCTGTGGTTGAGGCAGTCACAGTGCAGGATGTGGCCCAAACAACATGGATAGCAAAATAAC